GCTTGGAAGATACTTCAAAGGAGGCCTTGAACGCTCTTCTCTGTTGGGTTGTTAGGATTGTCCGTGGCCTTTTAGGTCTTCTGGGGTCTTTTGCATCGTCACCCCCCTTCCCGGAGGTTATTTGCCCTTTAGCCGGTTTGATGTCCCCGTCCTCATCGTCGCTTTTCACTGTGGATATATTGTGCAAATATGGCAGGGCTAAGAAGCAGGAAGCTGTATGGGCTGACCAAGGCTTCCCGAGAGCATGAAGCAAACTCCTCGTCCCGACCAAAACCCCTTTTATTAATTGGCTGTCAATTCTGCTCATTCACACCCAGCAAAGTCTTTCAAGGGAGGATTTACTTTATCTGGCTTGGAGAGATGCCAGGCCGATACCTGCAGAACTTGGCAAGGAGTCTCAGAGAGTCACAAACCAATTAAGGGAACTAATTGCCTCCTGCAAACTCCTTTCCCCTTTTGCTCCTCTTTTATTTCCTCTGGGCCTTACTCCCAAGTCGACCCCTGTTCTTTAGCTGTTCCCTTCATCTGGCCGCTCTGTGCATGTGTACACTGGGAACAGGCTCCAGCTGTTCTTCTGCCTCACTGATGTCTGACTCCGAAGGCAGCTGATAACTGTCAGACGGCCCTGGCCGTCTCTCTGCCTCCGATGCAGAGCCCTCATCAGAGCCTTCTCCAGACTCCAGGACTGGCCCATCTTCCTCCCCAACTTCCTCAATGGCCAAATCTGCTGCCAGCTCTGCTGGCCGCTGGCGGGCCACAACACTATGCTTTCCTTGGTTAAATGACATCATCTGGTTTACACCTCACACTGCACCAGATTTATAAACTAGAGTGGATGGATTTATCCCTTCTGTTTTTTTAAAAAATTAGACCGGTGCAAAAAAAGGGAGCGGAAATAGCCGTTAATCTTATGGTAAGGACGCATGTCAATTTTCCCACCTAGTGAACAAAGATTGATTAATCATCCTTTAACGGTGGAGTTCACAGTTGTACTTTGAGCTACAGATGGAGGGTTGGACCGGAGGACCTCTGGGGTCCCTTCCAACTCTATTATTCTGTTCTATGATCAGGTGTATCCATCCCATTAAACTCAAAGAAAGTCCGGAATGGTAGAAGATCTCCTGCCATGGGGAGAAGGTTGGACTAGAAGACCTCCAAGCCTATGTTCTATTGAAAACTTTGATTGTTAGAAATGTTAATAAGAAGAGCCCTGAGCTCTGATTCAGACAAAGGTCCAGTATCCTGCATCACACTGTGGCCAGCCAGATTTTGGAAGCCCCAACAAGCAAGGGTGGTCCATTTCAGAAGGGACCCTCACCTGAATCGGAGTCATCTGGACTGACGGAGCTGAGCAGGTCCTTCTCCTTCTCGTAGTCGCTTTTACAAAGGAGCTGGCCTTCCTTCAAGACGAACTCGTCCCCTTTTCTCAGTTGCCGCTCGCAGACACAGCAGCAGAAGCAGCTCAAGTGGTAAACGCACTCCAGCGCCCGCATGACGAACTCCGTGGGGGCAATTTTTTCCATGCACCCACTGCATTTGGCAGCAAACAATCTGCGGGAGGGAGGGAGGGAGAGATTGAGTTTGACACCCCTGGTCTAAGACGATTCGCAGGGAGACAATTCAATGCTAATATTAATAGTTTCATTCGGGTTACTTTTATTAGTGGTGACCACGTTGTCATGGAAATGATTGTGACTCTCGTAATTCTGGATTGACTTCCTTTCTCTTGTTATTATTATTATTGGCCACGGTTCCCCTTGAAATTAATTTAATTTTTGCATTTGTTGAATCGTCCCGTGGCGAGTCAGCCCCATTCCAATCCCTGCCCATTTCTGGACCTGAACTCAACTGATGGCTAATGCTCGCCAGCAAATCTTCTGGGCTTGAGCTGGATAGCCACCATTCTAGGTTTACCGCTGGCCAATATTGAAATTATTTATTAATTTTATAGGCCACCCCCAGATGGGATGGAGTTGAGCAACCTCTTCATTGCACTGTAAAGAAAACAAGTTAGTTCACTTACAAAAAAAAATCTAAAACCGGTCAGGAGGGGGAGGGGGAGAAGAAGAAACGGCCCAGTGATGAAGACTGGACAGCCATCGGTCAGAAATGCTATAAGGTCTCCTGCTTGAAGAGGGGTTGAACTAGAAGACCTCCAAAGTCCCTTCCAGCCCTAGGATTCCAGGTTCTTAAGTCCTGGGAAAAAAGCTAGCATGATTCTCGCTGTTCCCATATGACCTATGTGCCGGGAATGCCCCCAGCAGCACAAGAGGGCTCTTGGCATTGTTGCCACTGGTTGGCAGTGCCAGGATTCAAAGCCATCTGGCCCCGTTATATCATGTCCCTGATTTATTGCCTTTTGGTTCCTTATCTTGTTTTTAAATCCACCCTGCCTCCCAATTCCTCTTGTGCGCTGTTTGCTCTTATAATCAAGCCCTAACAACTAACCTTTACTGTCCCGGTCTTTAATTTCCTCCTGTTTGTGGGGCAAATATGATTGTTAACGGTTGTGTTGTAGCTCGCCCCGGTTGAGATAAGCCCTGTGCCGCATTGGGTTTGCCGTCCACATTAAGCAAGGTTCAAAAGACTGGCTAAACAGGAGGAAGTTATAAAGGCAGGACAAGGTGGATTTTTGGATGTAGCCGTATCACAGGACGTATTAATCAATTGGGGAGGTAAATGGATTGAGGCCTCTTGGGTAATTAAATCATGTTTCCTTCTCTTGATCACTCGTCCCCACATATTATTTTCCAGGCACAGAGAGAAAACTTAGGATAAGTTTATTCATTTATTTAGTTTGTCAAACATGTACGAGATAACAGGTATAAGATAAACATGGACATGAGCACATGAAATGAGTACAAATAAATGGGGACAGTCGGACAGGGATGGAAGGCACACTGGTGCGCTTATGCACGCCACCTTTACAGACCTCTTAGGAATGGGGTGAGGTCCACGGTAGACAGTTTGAGGTTGAAGCTGTGGGAGCTTTGAGGATGTAACAATGGAGTCAGGTAGAGAATTCCAGGCATTGACCATTCTGTTGCTGGAGTCGTATTTTCTGCAGGCTCGAAATTTTGGGCTTGGACAATCTGGATGTCCTACCTGTCAACGGCTACTTCAGCTTCGACCTCAACAATACACGGGCAAACAATAGATACAAACTCAAAGTAAGTTTGGGTCGGAGACAACTTTGCCACTAACAACAACAACAGCAATTCAGTTGCAGTTTGTTCTTCCTGACAGGGGTTATTTCTTTCGCAAAAGAGAATTCGCTTTGGGAATTGCTTTCAAAGGAGAAAAGCATTTGAGGGACATTTCTGTAGGAGGACAAGGGAAGCTCTCTCCTTGATTGAGCTTCAAGATAGCCTCTCTTGAATAATGCTATCATCTCTCCCTCCAGCAACATTTGGCTCGCCATCCTTCAAAGCCCAAGGGAGGAAGTTAAGAAGACTCTCCATCCATTATTATTCTGTTTTTTTTTTAAGTTTGGGAATGCGGGGCAGCTAAGGAAGATGCAGAAAGGTGGGTCTGTACCTCCAAGCCCTGAAGGGGCTGAAACAAAGCAAGCTTGAGAAATTTGGAAGAACTTCTCACGTGCCCTGATCTGGAGACTCCAAAACAGAAAAGCAGAAACAAAACCAGGATCCTCTTTCATGGTGGAACATCTGGGACTGAAGGAGAGCATCAACCTGAGACTTGGAGTAGACTGAGTCGCCTTCACTGAAGGTCTGAAGGAGTATTCATAGGCAGCCCACTCCTTAAAAGCATTCACCAGGTGTCCTCTCTGGGAAGGGTTCTCCAACCCAACCTTTATAAAGGAAGGGGGTGATATTTAGAGAGACCCACCAATGGTTAAATACAAGCAATCTTTTCTCTTATTCTTTTGGTTGGATAAGACCTTCCTTTCATTTGGGGGAGAAGGAGTTAAGTTGGGTATTGGTTCCTCCCTCTACCTAGCAGCTCCTACTAGGCAACTAAGGCTTTCCAACTCTGGACAACTTCCAGATATGGAGGCTTCATCTCCAGAATTCGCCTGGCAGCTCAGCCAAGGCAGAGAAGTTGAAGCCCACATCTCTGGAGCTTCAAGACTGGAAGGGATCTGGATAGGAGAACTAGATATTACACAAGGGCCTTAACTGAGAGATAGATCACTTGCTTTGCATAAAGAAGGCTCCAGATTCACCTGCCAACATCTCCAAGTTGGGCTAAGAAGCCTTCTTGCCTTGGGGATCCTCCCCCGCCCCCCCCCCCCCAAATCTTGGCACCACTCCCGGATCAATAGTCATCGGAGTCACGGTTCTTCGTGACTTTCTCACGAAGCCAAGTTTTTTCCCTTCTGGCAAAACTGCAACGTAGCTCGCACGGCAACACTTTTGTTTTGCAATTTGAGATTCTGGAGCTAGGCAGCATTCGTGGAGGGTGGACAGGTTCCCCGTCAGCAGGGACTCCTGCCAATTCCAGCCTTCCGGCCCCATAGCTTTCTCCCCTGCCTGCAGCAGATGCAAACCCTGCAGAATGCCACTGCGTCCTTGCAAACATCGGGAAGGGGTATGTTGCAAACAAGCCAGCTTTTGTCACTTCCTCACTGGCAATGGAAACATGACAAGGCAAGAATGTGGGTGTGGGGGGAACGCTGGCTGGGGCTTCTTCCTGGCCTCCTTCTCATAATACCTGTAGTGAGGACAACACCAGGACTTGGGAAATGTTTTTTTGGAATCCTAGTAGGGTGGCTGTATGGAATTGCTTTTAGACTAAACAGACTTCTTCCTTTTTGTAGAACCCAGGGCTGTCGGGGCTAATATTTATTTATTTATTCATTTATTATTTATTTATTTATTTATTTATTTATTTATTATTTATTATTTATTTATTTATTTATTTATTTATTTATTATTTATTTATTTAGTATATTTATATGCC